GCTGCCGCACTCAGATCATAATGTCTGTTGCGCATTACCTTCCCATGTGCTACCTTTATCTTTACTTGAAAAACAATGCGCATTATTCCTAAGAAAATAAAGAAGAAAGGAAACTCTTTAGTTTCGGTTGGTTTTGTAAGACCTCTTAGACTCTGATCTGAGCACTCTTCAATGGTGCTGTAGCTATTGTTGAGTCTGGATTTCATTAAAGAAATACACGTGTGGCGCACGTGTGCTCTTATAAAGTAAGCTCAATCAACTAATAAGAAAGCGATATTTATAAAAGTACTTATTTTATAATGATGTTCTATCAAATATTGTCTTCCACATTGTGAGGCAGAACATTGATCAATGAGCTACGCAGTGCGCTGCATCTAGTAAATCATATGGATAAAAACTAGGTTTATCGATAGCTAGGGTCTTCTTACGTACTCTGCGACTTCAGTGTTGCAAACAAATGCCATATTTTCAGATGGCTTTAGTAGTATCGAACGTCCAAACACGACTCCTGGTAAAACTGAAGTAATAAAAAGAAAAACCTTTAGATCCCCTTTATCGAGCGCAATCTTCTACGGGAGAAAGAGGTAAGGGCGTAAGTAGACAGTAGAAGGGAGCCCTGCGCACTATATACTATCATTCCCTTAAACCACTACGCCTATCAAACACGAGATATTAGAGGGCAAATTATTAATATGTGTAACAGTATTACATGTATTTTGCGCTAAAAAAATACAAAATACAGTCAACTCTCTTTACAGCGGACACCCTCGGAACCGTCACTTGGTGTCAGTAATAGCGCAGCATCCGCAATAGCGAGAATTTATTATGGTCATTTCTTTGTCAGTATTTTTCGCCAGGGATTTTGCTTCTGTCCGCAATTACCAAGGTGTTCGTAACATCGGAGTTTTCGCAAGACGAGAGTTGACTGTAGTACAATATCTATCGTTTTCTTAGTKCTATGTAGTGCAAACTTTTGCTAGTTATTTTTTTAGTGCTGTCTCGTCAGGATATAGCGTTTGCACTTTGTAACAAAAGCAATCCAGAGAAAAGGAACGTAATAAATAGACTATCCGGTCCCACACTAACGAAAGAAATAGCAAAGGCTTTATCAAGAGTTCATCATATATTATATATATATATATATACAGTTTAGATAGTTTAGCCATTTATCGTTTACCTTTTCGGTTTTCAACACTTGTTTTTGTTCCATACAACTCGACACGAATGCACGCAACACTTTCAGTACAAGTCCTGGGCTCAAAACGCACATACTTAACCGTGAGGGCCTGGAAAAGCTTGTGTCTGGTTGCTAAGTTTGCAACATCGTTTCCCCAGAAGATCTGCCAATTTAAAGTCAATTAACGAGGAGTCAGTTTACTCTGTACTAAATGTTCGTGTCTCTTGTAATTAAAGTAAAATACCCTCACATTCCTTTCTTTACCCATGCATGTGTCAGGTATTACCAGCTAATAGACCSCCTGTAGCACGTCGGAATGCAGCTCAATTTGGATGACATAACAATAGGTTTCCCGGCAATTATCATGAGATTGAAATTCTTTTTTTTTTGGTTTTCCAAATTAAGCTGCTTTGACGTGACTTGCAAGAGGTCTATTGTTGGGGTAAACAGTAAACAGGGGAGTTACCGGGTGCATCCTCGTGAAGGCGTATAACAGGGTAGCAGCTATTTGTTGGGAGTATCTAGGGCTCACAGGGGAGGGATCTTCTTGTCAGTAACCTACACTAGATTAGTGATTTCATCCACATGAGCTAGTGGTGATACACCTAGCCACTTTATATTATAGAATCAAACACCAATATTGATGACCGCTGGTCGGATCATATATGCAGTGACAGTGACGGTAGTTTCTTGTTTCCAAGTTTTATTCGGTCCGCGAAACCTTCCTTCCTAGATAATGCAGACTAACCTTGGTTTCTCCATTGCTCTTATATGGCGTCCAGGAAGCCCCGTCTAAACTGGACGAGAGGGAATAGGTCTTGACAGCGAAAACAGTACCATTTGTTGAGTGTCTGCCTTGATTTTCGATCTATGATAGAAAAAACACAATATCTTTTGAACCGTTTATCCAAAACAATAAAGACTGTGCAAAGGAATAAAAAAAAACACGAATGAATTACAAACAAATAAAATAGAAGAATAAACAAACAAACAAATAAAGGAACGAATGAATTACAAACAAATGAAATAGTAGAATAAACAAACAAACAAATAAAGGAACGAATGAATTACAAACAAATAAAATAGAAGAATAAACAAACAAACAAACAAATAAAGGAACGAATGAATTACAAACAAATGAAATAGAAGAATAAACGAATAACAAACAAACAAACAAGCGAAAGAACGAGCGAACGAACGAATACAAAAAGGAAAATTCTCATGTAGCACCTTAGTTCAAATTTTATTGATGAAAGAAGCATACTATCTTTATTTCCAAACAGTTTTCGCTTGAATATGCGCATTAACCATAACCTAATGTATAGTCAGACTGGTTTAGAGCATCAATAGTACATTGTACACTTTACCTCACTTATCTTCCACGTGTCTCCCAAATCTATCTGAAGATACTGTAATGGACTACAACCAGATGCGCACCAAGACCCACCGTCTATTTGATTGTTCAGTCTCCCAAAATGAGGCTGGTACTGAGGGCCAAGGATGGACGGGGAGCTGAACCGAGAGTCTGGTACCAGTGATGGAAACTCAATACCAACAGGAGGAGGATCTTTAATAGAAAAAATAGATAAAAATAAAATAAGCAAGATTCGTAGTTTATAAAAAGTAAGTAAATTTAAGACTTTGTGTCACTAATTGTGACTTTGCCCTACCGTATGTTCACGGAACTAGAACAAACCTTGACTAAGGCCCTCGCTAGGATTACAACCAAACAACTGCACTTTATAGGTGGTTTGATCCAGAAGGCCATAAGGAGGAACGTTGATTCTTATGAAGCGCGTTTTGATTGGCTTGAGTGTTGTTATGGCAACAGCAACGATGTCTTCTCCTTGGAAAACCTGAATCATTAGACACTTTGCATAAATGTACATACTGACTATGCGTATGCCATAGACCTTTGCAAAAAAGTATGCCTCTTACGTAACATATATAATAGCACAATAAATGCTTCCGTCAAGCCATAAGGCGAACAGCGACACTAATCGTGACGGTTTCCCTGTGTTTCATTCGGTTCCATGTGTGCTAGATGCCAGCAAAAATAATTGATAAGTAATTARCGATTATTTTCAGAGCACGTAGTACGCATATTCAGCAGTGTTCAGCTTGGGTAATCGTCCAAGTTTATTTGTCTGTTCAAGCAAGCAAGCCAATTCTTCTTCTTCATGATTTAATCATCTATTTTTTTCAATACCTCTACTTTTTGCAAGTTTTTCTGTGTTTTCCATTTCCAAGAGTTGTGACTGAAGGAGAGTTGAATGATGTTCCAGGGTATAGGATCTCGAGCAGGGATTCCATCAACAAATACCTACAATAATAAAGGTTAACAAATCGAGAGTTGCGTTTAAGTAAAGTCATTATATAAAACCTGTTTCACACGAGCAACGCAAATACAAACGCAAAAGCAAGAAATAGAAACTTTTTTATTTTCTTGTGCTTGCGTTTGCGTTCTTATGTGTGAACATCAGTTTGCGCAAATACAAACGCAAGAACAAAAATGTTTTCGATTTGAACAAGCAGTACTGCGCGTTTGCGTCTGCGTTGCGCTAGGCTCAATGAACCCAAAATGACGGCCTACGTTGCCTTCTCTAGAGGAAAGAGTCGAAATGGATTTTCGGGCTACCTAAAGATTCAAACCGATTAATCTTTTCTACCTCGCGGAGGGAATAGCTGGCAATACAGGAGGATAAAACTGATTACGAGAAAAAATTGCAAACTGAAAATACCCAATACATATCGTCCCAAAAAGTAAGGAAGAAACCTAAAGCAACACGTTTTTGACACTTTTTTTCCGAACAGGCTGCGCCTCCATTTAAAATCGTATCGTCACCCTGTGAATGATCTTTTAGTCTCCACTCACTCTATGTAGTGTATGTATAAAATGGCATGTAAAATGGCATGTAAAATACTTAAACCCTTCAATTATCATTATCTTGAAACAACATCTGGAATGCTCAAAGTCATGGCTCGGATATCTCACAGATAAAATTGGAATTTTGCGTGTTTTTCGAAGGAAGCAACGCCGGAGACCGGAAAAAAAATTCCCTATTCAAACTCTACTCACATGCTGACCCAAATAACGTGTAAAAAGCATTCTTTTCCCAACTACAGCTAGGGTCTGCACCTACTTTATCATAGGCGTCCATACACAGGTACCTTTAACGATAGAAAATACTAACTTTGGTGTAATAACACATTAYCATATCAACTTGTCTTGATGATTTCAAGTCTATTTGCAGAAAGTTAAATTTCATTTTTCTCTTTAAATTTAGATGATCAAATGACGTCATTGGTTTCCATTCCCATGCCATATTATTTGATCGGTATCTTTGAACGGTGGAGGCCTGGATATGACTGTCCTTGATATTTCCATCTGCCATTCCCAGACTTCCAAAGTTACTGCATTCTAGAGAACAAACATAATGCGTTACAGAAAAGAAATGTTTAGTATAACACAACACAAAACTTGTCAACTAAAAGACTTGTTTTCGTTACAAGAGAACTCTGTTGATTACCGGTACAATTTTCGCCTACAACTATCGTATATAACACGCTCGCGTCTGTCGTAGGCGAGTTGTAGGCTTGATTTACACGCTACGACTCGAGTTGTAGGATGGCGCGAGCGTGTCGTATACGATAGTTGTAGGCGAAAATCGAAAATGGAACTATGGAAAATGGTATCCTGAATATTTCGAGAAATAAAAGAAAAAGATTTTTTTAACTAAAAGGACCGGTGGAGCATGGGGTAGAATCAGTAAGACTATGGGCACATTGATCAATTAACATCGACATGCTGCAGCCTTTTCCCCAACCCTCTTCCCCCTCATTATTTCATGTCTATAAAGTGAGGTCGCACGTTCTGCAAAATGCATTTACCTGGACAGAAGAACGGGAAGTGTAATGCTTTGCTGGAAGATTTTTCTTTGCTACACTCGTTTGACCAGCGGTATTTCAAAGCGGTGCTAATTGTTACGTGACGGAAAAGGTTGTCACGCAATGTATGGCCAGGATCCAACGTGACATTAATCAGAATATTGATCTCCTCCGATGGTGATAGAGATCCAAACTGAAAAAAAGGTGTTGATTACTTTTAGATGCACATCTTTGATAAACTATCTGCGATTTTTAAAGAACGACTGCTAAGGATTTCGTGATGCATTGTATTTGTGGGGCTCAAAAGCCCCACCAAGAAGAGTCTCCAAAAGGGAGACGAACCTACATAGCACTCAGTTAGTGTGTTGTATTTAGAAAATCTGTTGTGTTGTATTGTGATTTATAATTGATTTGATTTATTTATTTAATGGCAGGGACACCACAACAGCATACATAGCCAATTACTGTGGGCCCTGTAGTATTAGCACGGGCACTGAACATGGTCGTCACCAGCGTCTGCTGTGGGTCTTTTACGTCCCCCTTATACAGGGTTATAGAGTGAAGACAGACGGGGCCTACGGTTAGAAGTGCTTGACCGAGAACACTTGAAGGTCTAACCATTTTTTTCGTTCTATCTATTGTATTAGGTGTAATTCATTGTAGTTTTATGAATATATTACATTGATCATGTTACATCAACTGGTCTCCAAAATCAGCCCCTTAACCTATGCGTCACCATCTCCAGTGAGAATAAGAGTAAAGGAAGTA